CATCAATCTCCATCGGCCACACACCTTCTTCTTTCCTCAGCTTGCCGCGGCGACTGTGGCGGCCTAGATTGATCTTCGGCGCTTTCGGCATTGGGAATCGGCGCGGGCTCCTCCCATGTTGGTTCGCCGCCTCCGTCGTCAGGAACGGGCTTGCCGAAGTTCCCATCCAAAGAGGACTTGCCGTCACGCCCGGCTTGTTCACTCTAGTCTGTTCTCTTTTTTCCCCTGTATTAGGGCCATGGTTCAAAGGAACATTCTACACCTGGTCATTGCGAGCACTTTTGTTGATCCAAACCGAGTGGGGATGGCGGCGATACTGCTGTTCCGCATTCTCCCCATCAAATAGTTTCATCCCCATCTTCTTTGTGGTCATGTGTGGGCCAAATTTCTCCTTCCTAGAAGGAGGGTCGAACGCACAGCCTTGGCGGAAATGGCCAACTCTTCCACAATTATAGCAGAAACTCGGGAGATGTTCATACTTGAAACGAATCCAGAACCTCCCCATTTCGTCATTGGTAGCCATGATTTGGGATCTCAATGGTTTAGAGAAATCAATGAGGACTTTGACTTTGACAAATTTGCATTTTGTGTCCGAGCATGAGAAGACTCCCGCCTCTAAGACCCGGCCCAAAGTGGGAGCAATCTTTCTTCCAAAATGTTGGGTGCAGCAATCCTCCGGCACATCCCACATTTGGACGCGAAAGGGGGCCACAGCGAGTTCCTCAAATGTTCGAAGTGAGGCATTGGGAATCCAAGCTCGAACATTCAGAATTTTGTCGTTGATGATCCATGGAGTTCGTTGCAACACCCACGTCTTTGCCGCTTCCGAGGGTAAGACAAATTCGAACAGACCACAATCTAGTTTCTTCACGCTGATCCGTCCTTCTCCTTGCCAAGGGCGGTTAACAGCATCCCTCAGTTCAGGGACTGACATTCCATTCTCAGCAAAGAGGCGGCCAAGAAGGAGTCTAGTTCTGCATACCCTTACCGCGTGGATTTCCTCCAATGAGAACTCAACCACCTGGTCCCTGGTCACATGAGCCATGGTGCTGGGCTGCAGCAGAGACAAACCAACAGGATTACTCGTGGACAGTGAGTAGGGATATAGGCAAAGAGTCGGCAATGGGAAGCCGGTAAGGTAGCAAGTAATAGAGATTGGAACAAAGCTCTCCAGCCAGGGGTCAACACTAAGACCTCTGGCGGAAATTCCCCACTTACCAGAACAGGTCCCGATCGATTGGATAGCCTCGTCTACACTCCAAGCTAGAACTCCACCTTGCGTATCAAGCAGAGGACGTTCTGATCGGTGGCCACTAATTAAATAGGGGGGGGAGGTAGAGGTATCCTTCTTCAGGGACTGTTGTAGTTGGGGTGGGAGATTAATAGAATTATCCGCCCGGGATATTCTGATGCCGATCTCCCCCTGCCTGTAGATTTGATCGCAGAAGTTGTTGCGCAAATCACGGAGGAGTGGGAGTCCGTTGCAATTTTGATTGAGAGCGCGATTTTTCCTCAGGGCCGGTCGGCTTGTAGTCGCCGGACAACCAGCGAACGAGGGACAGACCAGGCCATCGATTTTTAGCACCAATCGGCCGTTGATAACCTCGAAAGCCTCCGTCCTAGCCGAGGATCCATCTTCGAGAGACCTCGCCCCATCTCGGGGTCTGAGTTCTGTCGGAGGGCTGTTGTCTATCTCGACAGACCTCGCCCCATTTCGGGGTCTGAGTTCCGACGAGGTTGGGACGAGACTGGAGGCGATGAGCACTTCCTCACGCTCCATCTCATCAGAGGACGGAAGGTAGAAACGCCACTGCTGGATCGGAGCTTTACGCAATCGCTTACTAAGGTGGCCATCCTGAATATGCTCCATCGCATGAATCAGCAGGCGTTTTCGCGTCCAGCGATCCCAATCGGAATCACGAATGACGGATACAGAGTATTTCGCTGCCTTCGCCGTTTTGTCTCGATTGGGCAGCGCCGCCTCGGAAGAGGAGGTAGCAGAGGGATTCCGTCCTGATCTTTGCAGTCCTTGATTAACTAGGGCAGTCTCCAGTAGCAGCATTAGGAGTCTCGACAAGGTTTGGCCGGCGGAGCGGCCGAAGAGCACAACCTGAGTGGCTGCCGACCACCACAGATTGAGGAGAGAGGGGAGAGCACCTCTCATTTTTTTGTCAAGTTATCCTGAGTATTTTCCCCCTGAAAACAAGTACTACGTTTTTGTATAAGAATCATTCTTTTCGTGATGCAAATCGGAGAAATTAAAATTGCTTTGAAAAAATTATTACATCTCTATTTTGTGTTGCCAAATAAGATAATTTATTCACATTAATACATTTTGAGGCCATTGGATCAAGTTGTTTCATCTAATTTCATCATCCAATCAATTCTAATTCATTTTTGCCTTTTTTTGCACGCAAATTACTCCTTTTCCACAAATCATCCGCTAGCCACATTATTTGTCATCTCCCATGTATCTCCCAAGAGACTTTATGCCGCTCTTCCCCTAAAAAATGTCTCTATGTCAATTGTTCAATGCATAAAACTTAGGGGTTATTTGGAAGTTGTAATTTCAAATGATGTATTTAGCTAATTCATGTATTTATGTGATTAAATCGTTTTTTTTTTTTTGTTTACATTAAACTAGAATACATGCATTAACTTTTTGGAGGTCCCACTACAATCACTCATAATTGAGGGATTTTCAATCTACTTTTTGTTGAGATTCTTCACAATCACTCAAAATTGACTTTTGTGGCTTTACAATAAACACAATCTAAACCTCCAAACAAAATATTTGCCTAATTCATCAATTGACTTAATAAATCAAATGATAATACACAAATTGACTCAATACATCAATTCGAAGAATCACTTCCAAACTACCCCACTTCTTTATTTGTGAAAATTTTTATCAAAGTATCTGTTTGCTGGAGATTGTACCAGCACTTCTAACTATGTTTAGGAAACCTCTAGTGGTGATGATGACGGCAAAACTGTTATGCAAATCTATTCCAACCTTGTTTTTCTAACCTAAAGATTTTTGTCCTTGAGCTTTCTTATTGGTTTTTGTATTTTGTTTTATTTACCTTTTTTTCCAAACCTTTGTCATTTTTTTTTAACTATTTTTCTTACTCTGCCTATGTCTTCTTTTCAAGTCCTTTGCAGTGACGTAGAAAGAGCGTCAAGCTGGAGGAAGGAATAGATGGGATGACTACAGTTCGTGACCAGTAGCGTTCGATGGAGCTCAAGCAACTGCAGCTGATCAAGCAGATTGCTAAAGTGGCGGCTGACGTTAAGAAAGTCGAGGAGAAGATCGACGGGAAGAAGGAAGTCAACGACGACAAGAAGGCTTAACATGTCAGCTGGATTTTCTTATTAAGAACTAAAAATTTGGGGTTCATGTTTTTGAGATCTAATGCTCAGGTGAGGTGGATTTTATTTCTGAATCAAAACTTAAAATTAGGGTTCCTGATTTTTAGATCTAGTGCTGATAAACAAAAGATTAGGCTATGAATTTGAGTTTTAATTTGTGAATTTATGCAGTTTTGATGATTGATTTGCTACAGATCTGTGATTGCCTGAAAAATTCTTAAGAAAATATTTAGTTCTTTGCAAAGATTCATACCTAAAATCAATCTTTAAAGTGTATGAAATTTTGTAACTATACAGAAGACAAACAAATAGGATAAAATTACCCACATAGAAACAACTTTAACATGATAATTTTTCCTTCAAACTCTGTGATTTGTGTTAGGTTTTTCTTTTTATCATGCAAAAAGCTTCTCTCCAATTGTTACTTTCCTGCAAATTTGACCCTAAAGATAAGTCTGCATATTTTTCTTGTAATTGTCAGCAAAGTAGAAAATAAGGTTTCCCCCCTTAAGGTGTAAGATATTTGAAAATCTACTAACACAGCTGTTTTTTATATTGCATTGTTGTGGTGGTTGCTTGCTCCATAACATGAAAGATTAGTTTATAAAAATATAAAAATAGCTAGCAGACATAAATTAACTATGGTATGATGAATTTGTATCCAATTCTTAAGCTTGATAAACATCATCAAGTAAATACATTCGTAAAAAACAATAAAAGGAATCTACATTTAATTTAATGATGTATCTAAATGATAGGATGAATTTGTATTCAATTCATAAACTTGATAAACCTTTACAAATTATAATACGTTATGACCTCGACGCACTTGATTTCTAAATATGATCTCACAATTGGTCTAATTATATTTATAGACGGATTTGTTAAGACTTAAGAGTAGTCTTTACACACAAATTTTGTTGATTTCACTTGAAAATGCTACAAAGATTTTGGTCTTTCTCCCCTTTCATTAGTTGATTTGAGGCTTTGAGAAGTTTCTAGTTTTAATTCCACATACAAATTAGGGGTGCAGTACTGGAAAAATTGGGTAAACAAGAGTGATAGAGAAAGTCTGCTCGAACTTCTCGTGTAGCACTAAAGAAGTTGGGAAAAGAGGAAGGTGGCTTGTTAATATCTGGATCTACCTAAAGGAGGAGCGGGTTAAGGATTTGCGAAGTTCGAATACAACATGCTTAATTAATTCGACACTTTGTGGGCTATCAATCATCTCAAGCTCCTCGTCACTTTGGGCTAATTTGATTCTTCATTACCACCCTAAGTCCTTAACCCTGTCGACTTTTGGAATGTCTCTAGCCCTGATTCTTAAACCGCTATTCTTGTTAGCAAAAAAAAAAAAACTTATATTAGATAAATCAAGTAAAAAACGATGAACATGGAAACGTACATCTCATACCACAATGACATTGACCCTATTCTTCTACGAGGTTCAAATTTGACTTACCTTGTAGTAGTCAAACTCAATACAATATGAGTTTAGAGTCCTCGAACTCATATATGAAAATTGAAAACCCTGTGTCATAATGTTTTAGACTTTGAGGACTTAATTACTAACGGTAGTGAAGTTCAGTGACCAAGAGGAGAAGTATTCCTCTCCTTAATAATAGAAAATGGAAAGGAAAAAGAAAGCGCCAATAAATGTGATTAAGGAATGGCCGCGTGGTTTCCCGAATTCCCGTGACCATTTTCTGTTTTTAAAGCCCCCTACTCTCCCCCTTCTTTCCCTCTTCCTCTCTAATTTCCTCTCATTCCCTCCCTTCACCCTACTTCCCTCCACCGCCGTCGCCGTCGCCGTCGCCGTCGAATTCATCCTTCTAATTCCTCTATCTTTGTTTCCGAAGGTAAATCACACACTCTCTCTTTCTCGCAATCACTGATACAATCTAGTTCGAGTTTCGCAGAGACGGTGGATTGCGTTTCCTGTTCGATTCATAGCTAGATTCGTGCTGTATTGACTCTGTTCTCGGCGCTTTTTTATTTATTTCAGGCGAGATATAAGAGACCGGAGATTCGTTCTCTTTCAATTTTATCCATGGCGTTGTTGTCGATCGGTGGCGCGAATCCCGAATCGACTAGTACAGCCGGCGCGTCTTCCGAGGAATTTCAACAGCAGCAGAGGAGAAAACGGAGAAAAATTGCGCACGATTCCGATTGCGCCTCCACCAGCGGCGGGGGATGTGTCGGAGAGGAGAAACCGAGGAGATGGAGGACGGAGGCGGAGCACCGGATCTATTCCACGAAGCTGCTCGAAGCTCTGTGGAGCTCTCGACGGAGCAGCTCCTCCTCCTCCTCTGTCTCCGCCAACGGTAAGCAGGTGAGGGACGCGGCCGATAGAGTGCTGGCGGTCGCCGCTCGAGGCTCGACGCGGTGGAGCCGTGCGATTCTCGCGAGTCGCCGGAGGCTGAGCAGAGTCAGGAAGGTGAGGAGAGCGCGGGTGATCGGCGAGGCGAGGTCGATTGAGAGGCGGAAGCAGAATTTGCTTGCGGCGGCGGCGCAGGTGGAGAGGAAGAGTAAATCTTCGTCCCCGCATCCTCCGCCGGCTGTGGAGAAGCGAATCCGGACGCTGAGCCGGCTGGTTCCTGGCTGCCGTAAGGCGCCGTTGCCGAATCTGCTGGAGGAAGTCGGGGATTACATCGCGGCGCTGGAGATGCAGGTCAAGGCCATGGCGGCCCTCGCCGAGATTCTCGCCGCTGGCGGCGGCGGGACTGCTCGGGGTCCGGAGGTTAGCGCCCAATAATAATAAAATGATAATCATACCCCGGAAATCCGCCGCCGCTCCGTGGAATTAGCAATAGCAGGTGTTTTATTTATATTATAGATTAAACAGTTTTCCATTCTGTTATATTTTCCCCCCATTTTGTATCCTCCTCTTTCTTGATTATTGATTCTTGGTTCTTCATTCTGTACATGTAGTGATTCTTTTTCATTTTGGTCCCTATTTCTGTTCCATTTTCCTCTTGCAATGTTCCTCTTTGCAATGCCAACTCATATATCTTGTCATTTGGTATTAGAAAAAGGGGGCAAGACTTTGGAATTTTTAACAAATTAATTATTGGTAATTTTGATTAAATTAATCAATGGGGATTGGGGAGTGAGCATTTCTCTGTTGGCATGGGGGCAGGGTAATGACTAATGCGTTGGAGGGGCCTAATCATTTCCTCCTTGTTTGTCTTAAACTTAATCAGGAAGGTATTATAATTCTCAACCCCAAAGTCATACAAGCCTCCAAAAATGGCAATCTCCAAATATGAAGTTACACAAAATGTTTGGATGAGTGAATCATTTCAAGGTGAAAAGGTTTATTGGATTAGATTGCTTATCATAACTTGTTTGCCTTTTCACTAATCCTCATGTAGACGTAGATTCTGTCATATATGTGAAAAGAGTTTGAATGAAATTCACTGAAAAAAAAAAGGCTATATACATAATTAAGCTCGGATTATAGTTCAATCGGCTTGTGCACCGCCCCCTATCAAGATGAAAGCGGCAGGTTCGAGCCCTATCAGTCCCAACCCAGGATCCGATGAATACGTTCTTTTGCTTGCCACATACCCCAAATGTGAACTAAACAAAGAACATGTGAACTAAGTCCAGGGGATGATCCTTGTGCCTGAGAGCCCTTCCTAGGAGAGTTGGGTTGTAGAGTTTGAAACTTCTTACTTTTCATAAGCAAATTTTCTCTCACGTTTCTAAACATAAGGAAACTAAAATTCTCTGATATCAAGGTAGCAAACGGACTTCAATAGTTGGATTATTCTCTGCACTCCTAAATCTCAAAATTGATTATTGTTTGTGCTCATAAAATGAATTTTTTTGATGAGTCTGAAATAACGAGAACTTTAAATCGGTATTTGACATCACACAAGTCGTTTATTGGAACCATTAAAGCTCGACTGATCCAACATACCAAATAAGGGGTGGAAAGTTTGGAATGGATTATTTAGGGGGGGGGGGGGGGGGGGGGAACCCTAGATTTAGCGAGGCATGTAGGGTCCAAAGGAAATTCACATTAATAAGGCAAAAAAAGAAAGAAAGGGGCTCTCAATTGATGAGTCTGCCTAGTACTACCACTAGTCGTTAGTGATTAGCACGACTGCACGAGCAGCGGCAGGGGAACACAACGCACACCACCGCCTAACCCTTTGGCTTTGGCTTTGGGCCTCCTTCTTCTCAATCTCAATCCCATGTGCAATTCCGGCCCTACCAAATGCCGCGCTTCTCTTTCTCTTTGTCTAAAACCCCAAATGAAAATGGCTCGCATGTGCTTCCCTTCTGAATTCCCAATCCCCTCTGTTTCTCTTCTGTTCTGCTCTGTTCTTCACAATGCACACTATCTACCTGCTGTCCCATTGCTTTTGCTTTTACTTGAATTTCCCTCCAATTCATTGCTCCCATCTCTCTAGTTGATTTTCAAGCTATGGGATGGACGAGGATGAAACTGAGTACATTGTAATCTACTGGATGATAGTAATTAGTAAATCCTTTTGCACATAGAAACTAGTTCGTAATTGGTTTCGACATGGTGATTATTGTGGGGGGTGATGATCAGTGTTACGATACTACGATGGTTTTTAGAATCGTATCATTGCAGTGTGGAATTTTTGTAAACGAAGTTATTTTTAATTGGAAATTTTTATGAACGAGGTTTTTGTCATCAGAAATGGAATGTATATATTTGATCAAATGAATGGGTTTTCTCATTGTAGCTTATAATTTTTTTTTATTTTATTTGCTAAATAACTATACATTTTATTGTCTTATATATGATATATATCTCACTTTTCCAAGTAATTATAATTTTAGAAAATTGAGTTCCGTCTAGTTGTTATTCTGCTTTTTTTAATAAAGAAAAAGTTATTCTTTTTTTAATTTCCTTAAAATTAATATAATATCATTTTCTTCGTTAGTTATTACTCCACCCATTTAATAACCAACACGTACGTGTGCTCCAATGAAAGCCCGCCCACCTGTCAATTACCAGGTTGATACATCTGCCTGCCACGTGGCACCCTCAACCGTATTACTTTCCACTTGGGTAATTTGTATTTTCTTCTTTCCCTTTCGTTTTCTTGCTTTTCTCCACATTCCGAGTTTGCCCTTCTTTCTTGTGCACAAAATGGTCCACTTGGTTGTCCTTTTTCCTCCTCTATGTTTATAATTACGCAACTTTACTCTGCAAAATGCCCAAACATATAACATGCTCATTACTCCTTTCCTCCCCCAAAGCGCTATTCATGGGTAGTTCATGTTAGTTGAGGATCTAGGGACTAGCTAGAATTTCCCAATCGACATTTGATAGTATTCTCGATAAATATATAAGAAGTACTAATTTGATAATATATCGATGTGTTGTATTATAATCGCAGATGAATAGAATTTTACGCGACACAAGAACCGTAAGAAATGATATTCAGAATGACCAAGTAAGCACTTCAATGTATGTCCTTCTCCTTAATAATTTTGAAAATGCCGAAAATATTGATCTCAGCATATTAATTCACACAAATGGATTAGTACTAAATTAATAGTATTGAGATTTAAGCAAGACCAAGTATACACTAGTGTCGGCTTTGTATTCTTATACAAGTTCAACTTTTTTTTATAGTTGTATAAAAAGTAGTTTCTTTGTTTATAACCGAGATGAAAGTATTTTTTTTTCATGTGATTTCACTAGGACTGTCAGTTTGATTTTGGATTTTCCCATTGTAATCAAAACCAAACAAATAAAAAGTTTACTTAGCTTTGGTTTTTTATTTTAAATTTGTTCAACATTTTATTGATTTTGATTTCGGTTAAAACAAAAAAAATCAATAAAAATCCCAGAACATTCAAACTAAGTCAATATCCTTCAATAATACGCATTGTCACCAATTTATATATAGTAAACTTCTTTTTTATCTTCATGTTTATTTTAGTCTTTTCTCACTTCATTTTTGGACTTCAAGAGTTTTCTTTTTGATTTATTCAAACCAAACTAAAATCATATGTTAGCTAAAAATTGAATTGATTTTCTCATATGCTTCCATTCCAAATACAAATGTCCTCTTTTTTTTCTTTTTTTTTTTTCTTTTTGCCTTGGCCATTAGCGTCTTCCTCTTCTTGTTCTTCCCCGCCCCACAATTTCGTCACATGCAACCATGTGCCCTCATTTAATTACAAAACCCTTTCCTTCTGCATCCCCACCTGGCCGCCACCGCACTCTCTGACTTTCTCTCTGTTGCATTTGCAGCCTTATGTTGGTGCTGCTCTGCTCGCTCCATCATCATCATCTCCTCAAATCGCTCTACTACTTGCATTACATGCAATTGCACAAAGAAAGAAGAGAAAAAAAAAAAAAAGAGGCCATATGATCAAATCATCAATCGCGCAATCGCAAAGAAGAAGAAAAACCCACATGCAGGCCACTCACTCCTGTCCCCTTCAATTCCCAAATGTTTGTTGGTTGTTTACTTGGTACCTTCTTTTAGCCAAGATTAGAAAGTGTTTGGGCTGTCTGCTTTTTAGCTAATTTGTACATAGATGGCGATCAATGATCATTCGCACATGTATATATGGCAATCATGGTTGCTAGTTTTGATTCGAAAATTAGGATGGGTGGACCATGTGCCCGGCTTCCTAGCTACTATAGCTAGTAATATATGCATTATAATCACCACCATATAATAGCTCTCTTAATTAGTTCATCATCATCATTATTTCATATGTTTGCCATTTTTTTCTATGCAATTATGACCTCCTTTATGAATGTATATTTGGTTCTGGATTTTTTTTCATACCATTAATTGGATGCAAAGAGTAAAGTAGTAAGGAGAGAGGAAACCCGTTAGTGAACTATTGCTACGTTTGAATTTTGAGAGTGCATTTCGTTATTGATAATGTTGTCAATAAGTAACGATAATGAAAAGATGAGTAAAGTGTGATAATATAAATGATTTAGTTATCTCTCTGAAATTGGATTGGTTATAAATAGGTCAACCATATGTCGCAATAGGACGGAGCCCAGGAACTAATGGGAAGAAAGCCGATGGAGAAGAAAAGGAAGGGTTAGTTTTGAGAAGAAAAAAAACACCCGACAATGTGGGTTTTCGGAATAGCTTACCCCATAAGTTTGTTTTGAAAATCCACATTTGTATGATTTCAGAATTCTACATGAACAAAATTCTTGAATTTTTTGGGCTATTATCAAACGCAAGATTTTAACGAAAAATGTGCCAAAATCTCGAAAGAAAGCCCTGCATCCAAACGATCTCTGAATTTCACTGTGATATCATTCTTTAATACGTTATCTATTAGCTTTGTGGTGTCTTAATATACCCTCTTTTTTGCATGGTCCATGAAACCATACCGTACTGGCGGTTCAACCATAAAATACCAGTATCGGAGGCTAAACCGATAGGCGGTATTTAACGGTATTAACGGTTGAACTACGGTTAAACCACGGTTTTTTGCCATAAAATACCCTACCGCTGACTTTTCTGATACAGTCTCCGGTACGGTTTCATGGACCATGCTTTTTGTTGTTGTTAATAGTGGTGTCTGAAAGGGGACATGTTGATACCAATAGTTACAAAAGTTTGGTACAGCAAGTGTCCTACACTAGATAGGGTTGATTATGTTGGGCATGCAAAAGTTTGTTTAACCTCTTGTGCAGTTGTGCGTGCCAAAGGCAACACGGCAATTCTGACTATCCTCCACATGCCAAACCCAACCCTGTCTCCCCTCTCCTTGCCTCTCTGTTCCCCTTTCTTTTGCCAACAGAAATTCACCATGTATGTCTGGCTACAGCACATGTTAAAGGTAATTAATCAAGTAGTAAGTATGAGCTTCAATTTCGGTCTCTTTAACTAACTAAATATCACCAACTTAATCATTGCATTATGAAACATTCACTATTTCCCTGTATATCTCAAAAGTTTGTTTATAGCAAGCTATTTACTAAGTTTCCTTCCATCTCATTTTACTAGAAGAGTGAAAAATTGTGTTTCTTGGGGGAGTACTGGTAGAGTTGTGGATTC